GTATGAGAATGATACAATTTAACATCGTGCGGTAGTTTTCTCCCATCCTTGTCGTGCAAAGTTTGTTTGCGAGAAATTTAATACAGTGAACTAAACACTTTGTTGGATACAGTAGTAAGATGTGAGATTTCTAACAAGACGTTCAGCTTTGTTAAAATTGCCCCAGTGACTTGAATTAATATGGCTTATCTCCATTTTAATTTTCAACGACCCGGTTCGCAATGTACAAAGCTAAATTGTGATAATATCCAATTTAGTGGAAAATCATTTATGTCGGTAGAGAGGGTGCTTGGGCAAAGGAAAAATGTCATTCACGAGCCTGTTTGCAATTGAATGCACAAAAAGGAAATTCCTATAGTAGGCGCCAAGGGAATATTCATATACAGGATCAAATTTGCATCGGGAGAAAGAACGTTGGAATTAAATTGTAGATTGGATTTGCTTTATCTGAACGAGAAGGGCGCCGGGCTCTGAAAAAATAGATATAATAAACAAGGGCGTTAGATGTATTCACAGCAATAGAAAATTAGTGAAAGCACGTACCTAACTGTTATTTTTATAAGGTGACGTAGAAAAATGTAGTTGTTTTCGTAAGGTTCTTTCTAAAGTGGTTGGGCCTCTTTCATGTGTCCTTATGAATAATTCGACAATTCGTTATTCTTATTTTCTTGTACACAACTCACAAGTCCAAATTATTATGTGTGGCAGACTTCTATTTCACTTTTTGTGCCTCCTAATCCTAATAAATGTAAACTGATTATTTGCTTTCATGCTACTGGTGGGTATCATTAAGTATTTTCAAAACACGCACTCTATACTTTTGTTACTGGAATATGTGGTGTTTCAATTTTAACTGTGTAGTGTATTTTAATTAGCAGTCCAGTTTAATTATTACATCGTCATCAGCTGTGGAAACAAGGAATCATTTACAGTCACCCATTCAAACTTCAAAGACAAATTCATCAAATTTACAATAGCAGCTTAAACACAGAACTCTCATCTCAGTTAACAAATAAATTTAATTTCAACGCAAATATTTATACGTAAGGAAATTTGGGGTAATTGCAAACGTCTTTGTATTTTTTACTATTTCATATAAGTAGGTTATTATTTTTAGAAACGTAAAGTAGCTTGATGACAGGACAAGATAGAAATCAATATAAGCATTAGAATATATCTCTCAAGCGCAATTATTTCAATTCAATTCGCTGTGATGACCTACTTTCAAAGATAGGCTTAATTATTTTTAAATGAAGTTTGCCTGCTGCCTAAACAAAATTAAGCACAGCAGACTGAAAAGACAAAAGAAAATTTTAGATTTCTCTTAAAAAACTCCGACAAAAAAAATCAAAAGGGAAGTTTTTTATGAGTTTTCTGAATTATTGCTTTTAGTTAAAAGTTAAGGGTTTGCTCAAAGATTTAAATAAGAAAGAAGTTTTAAAGTCTCGTGATATAGTAATTACGACAGGGTGCGTGCGGACGTCACTTGCAAGCGGCTTTGATAAACGCATTACTTATCGGCCCTTAAGAATGTTTAAACTTGTTTTCTAACACCCTTTTGTCCCTTGGCCGTAAAATTCACTCATTCGATCCGCCAAACTTTCGCAACAAGAGTTCTCCGAAGATTTTCATTTTGTTTCTCAAAACTTTGATTGTATCTATTCGTGTAATCATTTCGCAGTTTTTAATTGCTGCCAGCATCCAAATAAAAAAACGTCGTAAAACGTTATACAACTTTGAAAACTATACGAAACTGAAAGCATTTAATTCGGATTTTAATAGTTTCCTGTTTTTATTTCATCAATATTATATTATGTGCCAACAACTACAATGAGATGTTGGTGGTTTAATTTAAAATATTTTGTTAATATAATTGAATGATAGAACTGCGTCAACAGAAATCGACCCCTTAAATATAAAAAGATGGATTCGTAAGAGTTATCACATTCAAAGGAAAGATACTGCTGATAGTATACATAAACTCCAAAGCAAGATCTTTCTATAGCACAAAAATGAACTGAACTCAAATGTCAAAATATAGTTCATATAAAAAATTTTCCTACGCTTTAGTGTAGTAACCATACTATAAAAAAATTTCTCGCACAATTTTTGAAACTAATGTTTTTCCTCATTCTTTCCAAGTTATACGGAAAAATGCTTATATTGGGTTAATTTTTAGTTTTCTTTAAATGTTGGTTGTATCTCAAATTTCAGAAACGGTGAGCAACATATTAATTTTTACTACGGCACTAGATTCTACATAAAAATATGTAGAATGGGCAGCTTTTACCCTTTTTCTACCTTGCATGTACAGTAAGATATACGATAACATCCCAAAAAGACAAACTTCTCGTGTTCACCCTGTATCTCAGAAAAAAACGCAGCTAGATTGATTCTGTTTGTGACAAAAGTTTCACAAAAAAGTGGCACAGGATCGCAAAAACCCCAAGTCTCTATCAAAACAGCTTAGATATACCGCAGTCCCAACCAAAATAGAACACTCGATCTCGCAAAATCACAAATTTTATTTTCACCCCATCATTTCTGTTTTTTATCTATCAGGGTTAAAATCTAGCACCGATATCCCACTTCACCAACGTGAAACGCACAATTTTTCGTAAAATCTGCATCTACGTGCGTAAAATAATTTTCGCCTGATAATAAACCTCCTTATCGCAAACGATCAGATGAATCTTTTTTAAATAACGTAAATTTGACCAGATGTGTTTTACTTCTCTATCCAAATTGAATAATTTACAAAAACGATAAAATTTAAAGAAGACTTAGGCTTCTAAAAGGAAAAACAAATACGCCAACACATATGCGAGTAAAATGAACCAAGTCTGTGTTTATTTGTAACAAACCCACAGGATTTACTTAATAAATGAAATAATACTCATATGCAGGATGTTTCGGCATTATTTCTCGTATTTAGACCGAAGTACTATCTACATGACGTTATTGACACAACAGTATATTGCGTGTGCAGTGGAAATCGGTCACTAACACCACCCGCATTCAACTAGCTCAATTAAGTACAACAGGTACTAAAAAAAAAAAATAACTATAATTATTCTAAGGCACGTCCAGCTTCCGCCACGATGAAAATATTATAAATTCAACAGCCTTAACCGCCTCTAAAATTCCAAAGAATTAATTAACACATTTTCATGTAACACCTGATGTAATTCAAATTCTTCCCTTTATTCGGATTCATTTGGTCCTTGAATTGTTTGAATTTTGATATATTCTTCTATTCTCGAATGATTCAACATGTACCGATTCTTTCGATACTTCATTTTCAAAATTTATTCCCCTACCAAATATACAGATTCTTGAGATCTCTGATTCTTCGCATTCTTCCATTTCTTCGAATGTGCATATTTGTTTTCAGACACCTATTCGAACGGTGTCAACTAAACAAATTAGACGTTGTGAATTTAAATCCCACAAGTTGTTTTATTGTTTTAATGTTAATTTTTGTTGTAGTAAAACCTCTTCTGCTTCGTTTCCCATAAGGTAGATAAGTATTCGATTTTCTCCTTGTTGGAGTTTTCTCGAATCCACTGACTTGACTGACATGTACCTTTCGAAACGCTTTTACCATTGATGTGACTGTGAAAAGTTATATTCAGCAGGATCCTGAACATTCGCGTAACCCTCGGGCTGCGCTGTCACAGTTGTACCTTTGTCTGGGTTTGGCATTTTCCTCCCTCACGCTTGTGTATTGTGTAACTTTCTAATTCACAATGCGCTGTTTAGTATTATTTCGTATCCCAACGCCGCCACCACCATGTCGTATTATTAGTAATAAAATATAATAGGAGTAGTAAGTTTTTATAACTTATTTTTTCGTTAGCAAAACACTGGCGTTTCCGCTAACCACCGTCTTCTATTTTTCGAATACCTTAAAACCTAATGGCACAGCAAATTACAGCAACTATGAAATTCGTTATTGATATATTCTCTCAAACAGAATCCATATAGTTTCTGCTTACAGATATCTTACAAGATACCTCTGTGATTCGACTCGTACTATTTATTACCTTTTCAAATTGAAAGGTGGTACTGCCCAATATAAATATCGGTTTGAGTTCCAATAGAACGTGCTCTTTAGCAGTTCAAATTAGTAGGTGTAAAATCCAAATCCAAGCTTATAATGGATTGCCAAGTAAACAGCACAATGTTGGCATCAGTTTTGTCGATGCACAAATGCGAACGTGCTGATTTCGCATTTTCCGATATCCATATGTGAACTGAGACTTGAATTTTACATGAAACCGGATGATGCGAAAAACACTCTCCAGTTGAAATTGTAGTAATAGCGATGCCTGCTGAAGTTTAAAAATCCGGGCAATTGTAATGAAGAAAGTTTTCGTACTCGAACTCCATTAGAAAGAAAATTGCAACTAAACCGACATACTTACCTCTGAGCGACCTCAAATTTAATATTTGTATTAAAATGCTTTTAAAGTAAACGATTTAAAGAACTATAACCGTAAAAGTTTTATCAAGAAGTAAAGTAAGTAATTGTTCTTGGAACGAGAAGCAGAATATAAGTTTATTATTCCGTTCTTTATCCCAACATAAAATTTGTGTTAAAAGTTTGAAAGCGCGTTTTGAAAAATGAGCAAAAATGCACATAAACTTTTAAATCGTAGAATCTAACTAAAACCACCGTCAAAGTGCAGCGAGCGTAAACTCCCAACGATTCGCGTGGAAGGAAAGGCTATTTTCCACTGAGTGGACTCTCTTCGGTTCTTAAAGGGTGTCGTGATAAAGTTGCAAAAGTCACGGACCGCAGTTACTAGACCGCTTTTAAAACAATAATTAAACTAGGAATTTACTACTAAAACAGTATTGGGCCTCAGTCCAATGCAAATTATTGAACTACCCAAATTTACTGAAAGGAAATTAAAGAGAAATATTAGATTAAATGTATAGCTACGAGAGTTTATTCAGTGAAACGTTGAAAACCTAAATAAAGCTTTTTGTTCCAGGATTGGACGCTGCAAATCAAATATGTACAAACAAGGGACGCCGGTTTGTACGAGTGCCAAGTGTCTTCCCATCCGCCCACCAGTATCTTTATTCAGCTTAACGTCGTCGGTTAGTAATAAATTATTAAAGTACTTTTAAGCGTCAAAAATAGAATAACTCTTTGGAACATTGTGGATATAAAGAAGTATTTTAATATCAGAGGTATTTGACAAATACGGAAAACCTCACTCGGAATTTTTCAATAACCACAACTATATGTCGACCCGTCTTCACTACCATGTTTAATTTTCATTCCAGTTTAAATATTTGCCATTCCCTAACGTTCTGGTAAGTTACAAGTATTAATAACCAATAAATTACACCATTCAAGGAGATATGGCGATGGCGTTACACCAAATCATAATAGATCAATTTGCATTCAAATATCAAAGCATCCCCTATTTCGAAATAATTTGCGATTAAATGAGTTTCAAATTCAGCATTCCCTTTTAATGTAAATGATTTGTAAGCGTCGTCCATCCGCGGAATACCAATAAGTTAAATTTTCCCATTGGCTAGTTACGCAATTTTGTTTTATTACTTTCCCCGAACTTAATGGTATCAAGTTTGAACAATTCAAGCTGCCAACAAAACATGATGTATAATCCAATATTACAACATAAGAAATAGGAAACTGACAAACCCCTCAACCGATTATAGCTTTGTTTTACCTTACAAAACTTTGTAGCGGATCGGGATTCTTTTTTTCGGTGGAAAGAGAAATCCATACTGACATGTTATTGAATTTGCATTCTGTTACCTTTTCCTTTCGGATATTGGCTTGCTTTGAGCTCCACGGCATTAAGGGCGGTGTACCGGTTCGTTTATTCTTACGTGTTCGCTAATACATCCCCCCCTCCTCCAATGGCATTTATTACTTTTGGTAAATAATCCACTGTGTATTTGACATTCCTTTTCAGGACACAAGTGTCAATTTTCATTTTTTTAATGACATCTCTAGTTCGGTTCCAATCTCTTATGGATACACAAAACTAGGAAGGAGACGTCATACAGATTACTTTTTGGCTCAGTTTGTCGTAGGTACTTCTCAAATGCAATTCCCACTACATAGAGCAAATATTTCATTTTTGTGACGCCCGAAGTTTCAACTTTAACAAACTTATCTCATTCGTATAGCGCACTTAAAAAGACATCTAAATTTGATTTTTTTTATGCTAGTATAGAAATAATATAGAACGTCGTATTCTCCCCCTGCTGTATTTTGAATGACAATGGAGTTATAGGGTATACGCTATAAAAAATTCGATAAAGTTTTTGTAATAATATATTATTACGATACATATAATAAATGCTCTAAAATTAGGCATAATTTTTCCCAACGATAGTTCAACTTTACGATTGCATATTATTAGTTAAAAATGAAACTGTAATTTAATACTACATGAATTTTTCATTACTACTTTAATTTATACGTGTGCACTGTATACAGATACACCCCTGTTATACTTTGAAGCAGGGTTCCTTTTAATCAATGGAACAGTCGACTCGAATCACTACATAAAAGGATCCGAATCCTGAAAAAACCTAAATATTTGGAGCAATACTGCGATAAGCAAAACAGAGCCTTTGGGGTTTATAGTCTGGAGCTATTTAATCAACATTTCCTCAGTAAAGTGGACATTAAATTTAAACAAAATAATATTAATTTCTAAGATGCTGTAAAATATGTGACCAGCCTGAACGTGCTGGAAGTTTTTAACTTGCAGTATGAAAATTATTTGTATGATATAAATTATGGTAAAGGAATTAGGTCCATGAAGATGGAGATTCAACCCATCGACACAATACCATCATTCTTATTCACTATTCAGTATTCACGAATCACGAAGGAACGACAATTTTGGTTAACACTTCTCATAATGGGGCATCTCCTTTATTTTGACAGATATACTGGTTTTTGTTCTTCACAATACTGTGTTTGTTTATTTGTTTACGCACTGCATTTAAGCCGCTTTTATTGCTCAAAACAATAACGAATTTATTGTTCACGTAAATTAATATTTCAAATGCATTTCTTTGATATTTGTTACAGTTCTTTCACCTTCGAATTCTTCTCTTGGTTTTTAGTTGTCGACCTTTCAATGAATTTTACCATTTGTACATACAGTGAGTTTTTTTTAAATGCAAACATAGGAGTTTGCATGCAGTGTAATTTCCCTATGTTCGATTTTTAAAATCGACACATCAATCTATGAGGTGTGCGCGGTTCACATTCCCAAATCGCGCAACTTGTGTGACTATGAACAGCAACTCATAGTCGTTATGATGAAGAGCACTCGGTAAGATTTTTTTAAATAAGCCATGCCAGGCCATAGCAACTTTAGGATACATTTTTCTTAAACTTACGATAACTTGACCTCACAAGCCACGCACTGACACGACAACTGATTGTGAACCAACCATCAATTATTTGTAGGTCATGTGCACCTAGTATTCTACTAATTTGATCTATTCAATACATAAATGAAGAAAATAAGAAAATAAATAACGAAAACAATTATAATAAATGTCCTCCTTGACATTCTAAGCAGTAACCAAACCGATTTCGTAATTAAATTGGACGGCGGTATTTTTACAAATGTGACAGCTGTCAATTGTATCTACTACTCATTTGAACTACTCAATAGATTGATGTGTTTTTTTTTAAAATCGAACATAGGGAAATTACATTGCATACAAACTCCTATGTTTGCATTTAAAAAAATTCACTGTATTTGTTGTTTAAGGTATATATCTATCTAAACCTCGTGATTTTAAATTAATCTTAGTTTATATCTATTACACGATTGCCTCTAAATGTTAGTTTTTGTTTGGTTTCGTCCTCACGAGTTTACCGTGGTGGTTTGTGCGTAGATTTGAACGTTGTCGTTTTACTTTACTCTTAAGTTAAGTACAAAACAATATTTTTAAATTTGTCAATGCAATACATATATTATTGTACCGTAAATTTAATTGCATGATTCATTTATTACAATTAATTATATTAAAGAATGTAGGTATAGCAGCCGTGTGCACAAATTGATAATGCGTAAAGTTATCACATACGAGCGCGAACACTAAAACACTATTGATCATTTCGGCATCGATTTTGGAACCACCATTAAACACTTCAATTTGCTTATATAGCAAACGGAAAGAAAAATCACGTTACGTTCTCTGGAGGTCTAGGAGGCGTATCATATTTCAAGCAAAGAATGCGTCGCATCCACTTTCATTACTTATCGCCGGTGACTATCTAATCTTTTATTGACTTAATGTCGCCTGCTGGCGCCACGATGTTTAGGATAGATCACGTTAAGGCTCGTCTGACTAAACTTTAGACTGCTCATCTCCTGGATGAAAGATTCTACAACAAAACTGAGGAGAAATTAAATTAATGTCTAAGTGACCTCGACAGAAAAAGCTAATAAATTGAATACATTAAATTCCCTCTCAAAATATGACCTACCTACTAAATAGAATTTTTGTTTTATCTCTGGTAGAATGCAATAACTTACCTAGAAACATCATAAACCTGTCTCACTTATACCTATAACATACTATTTGTTGATCAAGTACTCCATATTTATTTTTGAGTTGGATACAGAAAAAATTAAATTGAAATTGAAAATTGAACTAATACGATCGCATCCCTTACGATCCTGATCAGAGCGCGTTAAGACCCTTACACCAATCTGTGCACTTGCACTTTCACTGTGCACTTGCCGCATTTATCAAATAGGGGTAATCTTAAAATTTTACTTTCTTATTTTTAAGAACTACCCTCGTATTTGCATATACATATACAGTGTTATTTATTAAAAAGTAGACATCCAAAATAACTTCTTAAAACAAATAAGTCAATGGCTGTCACATTAATTTGAATACTGTTGCTTGAGCTTGAAGAAAAAGTTGATATTGTCAATTGGTATAGTGGCAGTAACAGTTTAGGGGAAGAGATTTATTGTCTGTGAAGTCAAGGTAGCAATATTATTAATATTAATTATATGAAACCCAGATGTTTATTTGTTTTAAAAAGATATTTTGGATGCATAAAATTAGGCACGCTTCAGAAGAGATTCTTTTAAAAGTAGACATAGTGAAAAACCATACACATAAATCCCTATGTCTACTTTAGAATAAATATCACTGTAGATCGCTTATGTAAGGCGAATAAGGGTCAATGTACATGTTTGAAACCGTAAAAACATATAATTTCAAGCAAGGGTACTTGAAATAATAATGTTTTGAAAATCATTGCGTTCCATAAACTAAGACACAAGCTATTGTAATTTTTCATTCAAAGAGGCGATTTAAAAGAATTATTGCTGGCGCAATACGTTTGGAACACCAAGTTGCTGAAAATATTCACAATGTTTCGGTTCTCTCGCCCAAAATGTCCTTTACTGACGCGTTTGCATATTGCTAGCTAATGGTTCGTGGTACATAAGTAAACTAAATGATCTTGTGAACGTTTGTTGCGTGATGCTGTTATCAGTTTCACTGAATAATGAGGTCCATTCGTATCGTATCAGAAACGGAGTGCGTGCTGCTTACAAGGCCTTTACGAAAATTAGTTGCATTTTGACCATTAACTTTGCGTTACAAATACACGAATGTCAGGGAGGGTAATCGGCCCAAATATCAAAGACAGGCGGCAATAAACGACGGCACCTTGACTTATTTCAAATTAATTAGCCTGTTAACAGTAAGTTTAGGAGTACCTAGAATTGAAAACGTACCTATAAGTATAAGATGGGCATTAGACTATTTAACGGCCTTTGTGACCTCCACTAACTAGAACACTTATGCAAAATTAGTTGTAAGACTTGAGAGCAAACTTGAAGAGACGAGGGAGGAAGGTAACGTTTGCGTGCATCACAAACAAAATTTATTGCTTTGATTTTGATTGCTGCTTCTTCGAATTTTAAATTAGTTTTACTTTGTACCACGCGTTGTTGTTCAAAACTGTTGCCTTTTAAGCTACATTTACTTATCGATTTGATGATTCTCGTTATAACAGAATGACGAGAATTCCTTTATTCATGGAAATCGTGCCGTATTATATA